CTGTAAGAAAACTATATCCAGATTGGGATATCTAAAAAAGTAGTCCCTATCGGGCTATATTTCTATAGCCCGATCGGGATACTGAAAAGAATATATCCCGATGGGGCTATAACATTCAGATCGGGATATATTTTTATATCCCGATTGGGTTCCTCACTGCCTATTGTCAGCAGTGATCTACACGATTCAATGGATCATTGCTCGTATGCAATCACTCAGTCGGCGTCACCTCACAACATGTATGTTTCTCAAAATTTTCCTGATCCTGTTCTTGTTACTATGTTTAGGTTGATTACCAATTTTCTGCCTGGTGGTCTAGATACCAGTGTTATCATCAATAAAGATGCTTGTTAAATCTAATATACTTAACGAGCTGTTATCATTCAGTCATATTTCATTTTCTTCCATTATTAATGAACCGATCAAGTAGTTTGATAATAATAGTTCGTTCTCACTTATTTCAGAAGTGTAATATTCTATTGGATTTGCATTGCGGCTTGATTTCTGGTGTACAACGAAACTGTGTTATTACGATTCTTTTCAAAACAACTAATAGTCACCTTCGCATTACAATGAAGAGAACAGCTACCAAGAAAAAGATAAGAATACATGCATTCTTATCTTTTTCTTGGTAGTTGCAAGGCTAAAGCGTTGAGTACTTATTTCTCTATATTTTCTTAACTGACGGTCATCAAGTGCTAATCATGTTTTCTGTCTCTCTTGTACTGGTTTTCAACTGTCTGACCATTTTCACTATCGTTCCTGCTAAAATCGCTCATTCTCATGTTAATCTTCATGTAGCTAGTGATCATTTGGCGCTCCCAGGTGATCAGGTGATTAATTTCCAGACGATTGGAGGCATTTCTGGAGACGACTCCTTGTCTACCTGTTGGACAAATTCGTTCCTTCTCAATCAAACTCTTGCCTCTTTGCAAAGTGGCGACATTCTTCTCATACCATTCAATAGAACATTTTGGTTGATGGGTGGTATCTATGCTCGTGGTCTCTCCTACGTAACCATTCGGATTGAAGGTATTCTCAAATTTTCTGACAATTTTTTAGAATGGCCCCGTGATCCTCACACTCATCAAGTTCGCGACTGTTTTTATTTTGAACAATTGAACCATGTCACTTTCACCAGTTTACAGTCTACAGATAACAAAGGGGTCATTGATGGTTCAGGTAATCGCTGGTGGGGTCTCGTGGAATACTTAGTTATTCGTGGTAATCGACCCCGTTTACTGGTGATCTATAATTCCACCAATCTTTTGATCGAAAACCTACTGCTGAAAAACTCTCCCAAATGGACATTTTATGCCAAGGATGTTGCCAATTTGGAAATTCGTTATACGGATGTGGATGCGCGCAGACGTCCGGATGTTCACTGGCATGATCTAAATGAATTGACTGCTTTTAATACGGATGGATTTGACGTGTCTGGTACGAATGTGTGGATTCATGATTGCAACATTTGGAATGACGACGATTGCATTGCAGTGAAACAACAGGATTCAAACAGTATTCAGTCATCGTGCAGTGAAAATATGTTATTTGAACGTATCAACGCCTCAGGCGTGGGTTTGACAATTGGTTCTATTGGTCCCTTCGAAGCTCATTCATGTGTTCGTAACATTACATTTCGTAATTGTACTATGTATAACACCTTTAAAGGATTTTATCTGAAATCACGCCCAGGAGAAGAGGGACATACTGGTGAAATCAGTGATGTTCTCTATGAAAATATCCAAATTAATAATGTTTCCCAATGGTCGATATGGATTGGACCACAACAGGCTGGCTTTAAGGGGGCTTGTTGACTCTTGGAATAACATTGTTTTACGAAACATCACTCTTAATGATCCTCAAATAAGCCCCGGTGTGATAATTGGCAACTCCTCCAACCCAATGCAGAATGTACTGTTCGATAACGTAATCGTAAATAATCCTAGCTGTCGCCCATGGCGCAACAAATATTATGCATGGTCTAGAAGGAACTGCACAAGGGAACACTGAACCACCGCCGCCATGCTTCAAACGCAAACAACGTCAATCATAATTGTTTTCATGAAAATTTAAATGTCATATTAAAAATGCTGTACTAGCAATCTGAAAGATATGCAAAACATAGTAGTCTTCCATTTTGTACATAAACCGAAATATGTCTAAACATTATACTAGAATAGTTTACTCAACATTATTATGTTGACTTGATGGGCGCTTCTTCGTTTGTCTCCGTATTGAACTTTGTAAGATTTTCTTGGATATTCTTCATAGTTTACATTTTGTTCACGACATTCTTGTAGTTTGGTCTCTTGCTATTTCTGTAATTCATTGAATCGCTACCCGAGTTGATGATGTCATGGACAGAGCACTTGCACTTGAAATCCGAGTGCTGTCGACGCAATCATGAGCTGACGACAGGTAGAAATTTCCGCACAGTTGTATTTTTTTTTTTTTTGTTTTTTGCCCATTTTGCTTTGGAAAGAAAAGAAATATTAAGAATATGTCAAGAAATCCGGAAAATAAAAATCCAGAAAATGAAAAATCCGGAAAATTTTTTGAACATTCTCATAACGAAAGAGAAGGAATAGCAGCACAACTTTCTTTTCCAGATTTATTTTTCCAGGTTTCTTAATAATACCAATATTAAGGAATTACCGAATCAACTGGCATGTGTCGTTACTTCAAAAATTTTGGTCTATGAGAAGACTGATGAGAATTTTTCAAGTTTTACTCTGAAAAATGCACCATTCTTCTAAGGTAATGGCTGTATCTTTTACTTGATTTTCCACTTCAAATACATTTTCGCAAATTCGGTTTGAGTAAATTCGCGAAAAAGGTAAATTTTGATCTTCGAAATAGTTTCAAAATTTTTTTTCGATGGACTGCGGTTGAGTTTAAAATCGCGAGAAACTAGACGTAACGGAGGACCGCGTTTTCTTGTTAGAAATATTCATCGCGATTTTCGCGGGTCGAAAGAGGACAGTTTAGCCTATACTTTCATAGACAGAAACGTTTTTTGAGCATACTTGTGAATCCAGTTTTTCAGAGGATCTGTGGAAAAACAGTTTTTAAGTCAACAATTTTACACAGCAATCTATCGATTTTTTCATAGATAAATAGTTCAAGGTGTCCTCTACAAAATAATACCCTTCGGGAGCTTCGGACGTCTTTTCCGGAGCCCTAGGACCTCTCTATTCTTCGCTCTGGGACTTTCAGAAATGCATGAAAACATAGGTTATCGACCATGCTGGATTACGTGACAATGTTAGTTTTCACAGCAAAATGCAGAACCCGAGTGAAAACCTATACTAGGTGAAATAACCCATTTTTGGCTACTTTCATCAAAAGTATATCAAGCCTTGCTACAAATTATGGCTCAACGAAGCATGGTGGAGAAAAACTTTTGCTGGCAAAACTCTTCCTTAGGTGTCAAATGGTGCACTGAGTGTAATACGTTTTTCAGTGTAACAGAAAAAGTTTGAGAAAAATTGATTTTTAAGTTTTTAATAATTTTAAATTATTAAACTTGATTTTTCTGCTGATGCTTTTTTCTATCGGAAAAGTACTTATGGCAAATATGTCATCTACATATGTACACGAAAAAGTGGGTCTCTTTATTGATGAAAAGACAATTAAATTCTAAAGAGCAAGCATTAGTTTATTAAGTACACAAGATGGAACAAGGACTCGTATTTTCATAGATGGAAATTCCAAGATGTTAACGCAAATCAAAAAAAATTATGCGTTAGGTAAGGATATTATTGTAGTGAAAGAATTTTTATAGTTAAACTGTGTGTGTTCTGGTTTCAGTTTAAATTTTTATTATCGTTGTTTTTCGAAATTGTATATGAAAAGAAAGCGCAGAAGACAATGAGATAATCATACCGCATGAAATGCATGTTTTTTACGGTTATAAAGTTGCTCAATTAGTAAACAACTGTCCTTTCTCCATTTACTTCTGGAAGAAAGACCAGTACCAGCTTCATTACGCAAGCGGAATACTTGCCCCAAGCGCTTTGGCACAAGTACGTTCTCTAGGGTCTATATCATATACGCACTCACACTCACCTTCCCAACCAACCATCCCCAACGCATACATTTTGTGTGCTTTGTCGACAAATGTTTGTTTCGACTCTTTCTTGCAGAGGATTTCTCAGAAAACGCGAAATTGACTACTCCAATTCTATTTTCTCTGTATAAGATTGGAAAAACGTGGACCATAGTGGTTGTCCATTTTAGCTAATAACTACCTGGTAATAGTGGTCCTGCTTCAACGAAATTTCGTTAAAGTCGACACAGCCACGTAGAATACTGTACCTGTTCGGTCCTGTCTCACGAACCCGTAAAACAGGTGGAGAATTTCTTCCGTCTGCAATGGACTAGATAGTATATCCATGAATAAATCTCCTCTGGCTGGCAAAATTCCAATAAAATTCTCACACATCTTGCAAAAATTCCGCTGGTTTTTTAAAACAGACAGCCACTATGATTCGAGTTTTCCAATCTTATACAGAAAAAACGGAGCTGGAGTAGTAAGATTCGCGTGTTTGTGAAAAATCATCTGTCAGAAAGAGTCGAAAAAACTATTTAGCTGACAGAGTCGGTTTGTACAGCACTTTCTGAAGTAGATATTAAGCAATTTTTTCGATTCCCGAACGTGTAATTTTTGAGAAAAAAGTTTTTGAAGTGTTTTTCAGATTTTTTACCCCAATTTTGAAATTTAAATAAAATCTTTAAGTTTTAAAATGTAAGACTTGTTTGTTGCATCATCAGATAGAGGACATCAAGTTGTATACAGAAATAAGTGTGCATCGTTCCAGGATGAAGTTTGACGGAGAAATTCAACTTTTATCTTCCCACTGGAATTAAAAATATTTAAAAAAAAACCTTATCGGTAGTTTCTCAAAAAGGAAGCATTTTGGAGCAAAAGTGTGGCTGCACGTTTACAACGTGACACGCCATTTCCACGAACGACATTACCGTGAACAGAACCCCGACTCTTCCACGAATTTTTCATAGTACACATCTGGATATTTCTGGCAGCGTGTCGTGGGGATGGAGGTATTAGCAGCGTGAGAGTGAGTTTGAAAAGTAGTTTCACACAAAACATATTTTTGTGATGCGAAACTGGATATCTGTAACTGTGTTACATAATGACTGTTCATCACATTACTTCACTCAGGTTTCAGGTCGTTCGTGGTAATGTCGGTGTATGTGGGAAGTCGTATTTTCTGTTTGAATAGTCGAGTTTAAGAGATTTTGAGTTAACAAAGCCTTATCCTATAGAAAATGACATCCTGAACAACTTGTGAAGCCGCATTTTTACTCCAAAATGCTTCATTTTTGAGAAACTACGGGCAAGGTGTTGTGACAATACTTTCTCTTAGCTAAATATTAGAGTAATGTTTTAATTTTGAACTTTTTGTTACATTTTCCCAGTTGTAGAGGACACTTCGAAGTATATGTTCTGAAGTTTTTCCGGCTTACTGACATTATCTGGCTGAGAAAAAAATCAATTACTGAAAAAATGCTTTTAAATTTTCGACATGCCATATAAAACTTTTTGGTTTGCGCCTTTTACCAAGTTCATTAAAATGTTTGGTCTACAAGAGCCCCCTAGTTTGAAAACGTTCTGAGAACAGCGATTGAAGAACGTCGGTCGTGGTTTACTTGCCATAGCTCTTAGGTAAAAGCGGATAGGAGAACAGTTTACCCTCACTCTCCGATGAAGTATGAGTTGAGAAGGAAAATTGATTTTATAACCAACAAAAAATTAGATGCAACGACAGAGATAGAAGCAAGTTCTACAAATGGAAAAAAGCATGTTCTTCAAATGTATTCATTTTTTGCAGCTAATTTGTTTCGAAACTGAAATTTATTACAATCAGAGCTTTCGAATCGACAGATTCATCTTCAGTGGAAAAACCTGTACATATGTGAAGAAGTTTTGTCTACCGTTAGATGTATATATATATCTACATATATGAAACATACCGGATAGGTCATGATGGACTTTATTGTCACTCTCGCTTTCATACGTCCGTGAATTAGTAAACCAGCATATTTTTCATATGAGATTGATAATAATTTAAATGGTCTAAAT